ACGTACATTTTCAGTTACACATATTCTATTTATGCCGGATACTGGACTGTCATATTTTTATTTCACGTATACAAGACGGGTTATGGGACCAAGAATTTATGACAGATATATGACGGAATATGTTTCCCGTTCTAAAATAGTTACGCCTAACTAATATACATGAAATAACCAAACTCAAACCGAATCTATATCCTATTTAACACATATAATCAAACTATTAGAAATGTTTTGATTAGTTTAGAAAATAAAAAAAGTAACATCATTTAACTTTTGCAACTAAATTATATCTTAGTTTTATCTTAAATATAATTTCGCACGTACGTGTAGGTCCGGATCTTAAAATATAATTATGCACTAACGCAACTGAATTTCGTTTATTGCTCTAATTTTATATTATTTGTACTATTATAAAGTTCACTAACACAACAAAATATTTTATATTTTTAAAATCTATATAACAATTTCTATAAAAATATCTCTACACGTACGTGTGAATCCAAATCTAATACACTAAAATATATATCATAAAAACAACGAAATAATTTATATTGAATTAAAATTTGTTAGAACTTTTTAAATAATATAAAACCCCGCACGTACGTGCGGGTCATGATCTAGTATTGTTTTTAAAATGAGGTACTTATTTTTTAAAAAAAATTAAATGCGTAATTGATATATATATATATATATATATATATATATATATATATTTGCTAGAACAATCAATTACACATTAAAAAAAGGGATTAATACCTCATTTTAAAACAAATTTCAGTTATATATATATATATATATATATATATATATATATATATATATATAAGTGCTTAATCTCTCAATACAATATAACTACATCTTCCATCATAAAAAGTCATATTTAGACCTCACACTTTATATCAATCAATAAATGCCAAAACATTTCATATCAGAATAATATACGTATCATTTTAAATTTATGTACATATATAGTTAGTATTACACAAATAATAAAAAAGAAATATAAGAAAATACAATGAGTAAAGAAAATAAAATTTGACATACACAAAAATTAGAAAACAAACATCATCATAAATTAATTTTTTGGCACCTCATAATCTCATGACTGATAATGATACCACGTGTGACATCAGTAAGAGACATTTAAATATTTTAAGCTTTTCATCAAGTAGTGGAAAATTTGTTCCCATGAACTCATTATGTACAATGCTAAACACTCTTTATATTTAACAATTACAGAAACTGGATAGGAAAAACATATTATCGTATTATTTGACTAACCCTTTTTTGGCTCAAAATATTAAATTTTATGAATATAAAAGTAAAATGAAAATTAAAAATCTACTATTTGATTGATCTTCTCATGAATCTTGTGTATACAAATTGCTCTCACTGTTTCTGCTCATTAGACGAGAAACCTCCTTAGTTTCATTTTCTCTGCGAAGAAAACTGACGGTAACTTAGCAGAGATCAAGTCGCTGACCCACATGCACGTTTGGTGATTGAAAGAAAATTCATTAACTTTTTGTAAGTAACTTTCTTATACTAGATTTGATATTAACATCAGCCAATTGGTTTTTGGTTGAATTTTTCGGTCTTGAAACAAAAACAATTAATGTTAATTCAATACTATCTTTTTTTTTTTTACGAAAAACAAAAAATAGACAAAATTCACAAACTACATACTATTGAAGGTTTTGACATATTTGACTATTGAAATTATTTTTTGCAGACCCTTGTACATACCATTTTTCATCTTTGGCGATATAAAGTCATAAGCTACTATTGTCCTAATTTTTACACGTCCAGTAAACCCCTTTTCTCTCAGCTTTTTTAGAATGCATCCACACACCTCTTTGGAAAGTACATCATGCAGATTCTCATCATTCTGATCCAGATCCTACCATACATCAATGAGATATTTTTTTTCTCTCTCTAACTCTTTTTACATTTGAGAAAAAACATATTATCGTATTATTTGATTTACCTTTTTCGGCTCAAAATGTTAAATTTTATGAATGTAAAAATAAAAATAAAAATAATAAAATCCAACCATACAGTCAAAATGTCTGTCTGACCAATTCATGAATGTGGAAATTGAATTTAATAAGTCGACTTGTATCAACTGCTGTTAGAGTTCTTTCACATTAAAAAAAAAAAACATACTATCATATCATTTGACTGATTTTTTTGGCTCATATTGTTAAAATTTTATGAAATTAAAAGTAAAAGTAAAATACAAGTTATTTCTTCTATGACTAAGTTTGATTTACGCTACAAAATCAACTAAAATTTCGTCATATAAAAAAAAAATTACTTTTCATATCTTTAGGTTAACTGTGTAAGTGGATAAGCCTTTAGTATGACGGCCCAATATAATTATTCAATATAATTATTTGGGCCTGTGAATCACTTATTTCCCTTAAACCCTTGGCCCAAAACAAAATTAGGGCTTTTTTCTTATCTTCGAGATTCTCTCATCTCCCTCAAAAATTCTCCGGCAACACAGTTCACCGGAACTCGTAGTATGAAACAATGAATTTGATCTCAAGAACATTGACAAGAGTAGTGTCTTCGTCACTATACCACTCAAGAGCAGCGAAACTCCCCACTCAAAAATGGGTAATCTCGCAGCAAATCCGCGTTTTCTCCGCCACCGTCATCGGAAGCGGAGGAAGGAAGCCTTGGGCAAAAGCATCAGTGAAACCACCGGTAAATGCTGCGGCGGAGAAAGAATCGACTCCGCCGAAGAGGATTGAGTACAAGCCGGAAATTTCAAATTGGATCAACTTAATTGGATTCGTTGAACAACCAGTTCAATTCGGTCCTTGCTCCGATGGAAAATTCTGGGCAGGAACTGTAATTTCGCAGCGTTCTGGTTCAAAATCATCTAATTTCTGGTACATTTTGCTTTAAGCTCATTGATTTTGAGTGTGTATGTGTAGATTAATCAAAGTTGAGAACTTTTCAGGATTCCGATAATATTCGAAGGAGATTTAGCTCAAATTGCAGTTCAACATGTAAAGAAAGAAGATCGGATTCATGTTTCCGGAAAGCTGTTTATTGATTCGCCTCCTCCAAATGTGACATATTCTCAATCCAATGTTCAGGTGACACAGTTCTTACAATAACCATATTAAGATTTTTGTAGTTGATGGAATGAGTTTTAAAGACTAGATTTGTGTAATCTGTTTCATGTTCTTGTTTATCTCTTTTAATCTATATGTGAATAGTTCATTGGATTCTTTGATAATATAACAGGTTATGGTTCAGAATCTTAACTTTGTACAAGCTGCAACTTCTCTGACTAAAACGATCTCACCACCTGAAAAAGAAGTAATCAGCACCAAGAAACGGCCCGGTATGTGTTATGTCCTTTTCTTAATGTTATGCGTGATTCTCTTTGGCAATATCTCTTGTGTTCAAGGATTTGCAACGTTTGAGTTTAACACATTTACTATATTCTATCTTTCTAGTGAGATCCAAAAAGGTTAAAGTCATAGATGAAGAGACCTCTAATTCTTGGAAGCATCTTATTGAAAATCCTAAAGAATGGTTGGATCACCGTGGGAATAAAGCTAACGGACTGGTAATGACACTTTGATTCAGATTGATTTCTTTCTCAGTCATGCTGCTCGACATCTTCGGCTATAAATCTTTCGGTTATCGATATTACCTTGTGTAGGTAAAGCCAGGACATCCTGATTTCAAGATGAAGGTTGGTGGTTTGTCTCTGTGGCTCAGCACAGCTCCTGATTGGGCTTTGCCAAAACTCAAAGAGCTTGAGTTTGATGTCTTAGTCCCTAAAGGAAACATCAAACTGAATCAACTTAAAGGTAAGTTCTCCTTTCAGTAAGTATTAGGTAAGTAGTGGCATTTTGTTACTATCTCGTTTTATAAAATGAGCCATCCTGCGATATAGGAGAGGAATCTTGGAAGGATTTGGTTCAGAACCCAGATAAATGGTTAGACAACAGATTAGATAAGGTAAAATATTACGCTCCAGGTTATCTTTGAAGAGTGAAGACACTATTATCTCCTTATATTTCTTCTTTATCGACTTCCCACTAATGTTTTTGACCACGTGTAGACAAATGTGAAATACCCTGACTTCAAGCATAAAGAGACTGGTGAAGCACTGTGGATGACCAATTCTCCTATTTGGGTACTGTCAAAGTTACCACCTCTAAAGAAGAACCAAGAAAGACCTCTCATGTCCAATACAGTCCCGCAGCTTGAGCTTGACGTTGTAGTACCTAATGGAAATCTGACACAGCTTAAAAGTAAGTTCCTCTTTTAGCAAGTATTAGGCCGGTATGTGGCATTTGTAATGGTCTCGTTTTTCTAAAGCGAGCTGTTATGAGATGTAGGAGAGGAATCTTGGAAGAACTTGGTTGAGAACCCGAGTAAATGGTGGGATAACAGATTAGACAAGGTACCATATCATCTTTGAAGACACTATTCTCTTTCCATTTCTCCTCTTAAGTTCAATTTCGAATTTCCCAATGATGTTTTTGAACCATGTGTAGAGAAACCCGAAAGCCCCTGACTTCAAGCATAAGGAGACCGGTGAAGTACTGTGGATAAATAACAATTCTCCGACTTGGGCACTGTCAAAGTTACCACCTCTAAAGAAGAACCAAGAAAGACCTGTCATGGCCTAGTTTGTCTCTCGTAGCCTTATGTTGATTTTTGCCACCCACTATGTAAAAAGGCCGTATGACTTTATTTCTCCAGTCTTATACAAAATGAGCATCATATCTATAACTATAAGTAGATTTTAGTTAGGATCTCTTAAGATTTTAGTATTACACTTCTTGCTATAGTATGCATCAGACTGCATGTTGAGTTTTACCTCCAACAAAGTTGAGAGAGAGTATTGTTATTCCGATGAGAGTTTCTACAATAACTTCACAGTGAGGTCATAAAAAAGAGAACACATAAAACTGATTTAAGTGAACTGAATTTTCAACATGTAAGTTTATGTGACTCAACCGACAAAATTTGGCTCAATGGTATATTACCACAACAGAAATCTGCTTTCCTTAGAAGCTGCAAGTATCACAATTCCTGCATCACCCTCATCTGATCTTCATTCTTTTGTTGTAGAAACTGAAACAATCATCTATCTAACATATATACAGAACAATAAGTGAGAGCTGCGAGACTTCTGTTTTCATTGAGATTTGAGACAAGCAAACTGAGTCATCGCTTATGTTCGAGAATTTGGTTTTCTGGTTACAGTTGGGTCTGCAGGATTATTGTTGCTCAAGCCACCTGCTACATTTCTCTGATCCTCTTGTTGAAATGTTTGATTCTGTCCTTGTCCAGTAAACCCTTGTCTAAATCCTGGATTTCCTGCTAATTCATGTGGAGGACCATAGTTTCCACCGTTCTGCATATTGTAATTTGCTGGGTTCACTGGAAATCCTTGGTTGATGTTTGTAGATGTCCCTTGCCCGTAACTGCTAGGTGGTCCTGGATTATAGTTTCCATGGTATGGAGGAACCAGAGGAACCGGAACTCCTTGACTGTGACTATAACTCGCCTGATATGAAGGCATTGCACATCCTTGACCTTGAAATTGTCCATGGATATGAGTTCCTTGGCCTTGATTGTAACTCCCCTGATATGAAGGCATTCCACATCCTGGACATAAACATTGTCCAGGAAATGGAGTTCCTTGGCCTTGATTGTAACTAAGCTGATATTGAGGCCATTGATTTCCTTGACCTTGAGGGGGTCCATGATACCACTGTCCAAACTGTGCAGGACCATAGTGTCCACCGTTATGTGGACTGTAATTCCATTGACCTCCTTGATTGTAATTTTGTTGGGGTCCTTGGAGAAAGTTACCATGTGGCGGTCCTTGGTTGTAGTTCACGAATGCCCATTGACCATAATTGCCTGGTGTTACTTGGTTCGGAGGCACCGGAGCTCCTAAGCCTTGGCTGTTACCCATATGATATGAAGGTATTTGACCTTCTTGACCTTGTCCTGTCAGCGGAGTTCCCTGGCCTTGGTTGTAACTCCCTTGATATGGAGACAATAAATGACCTCCTTGACCTTGCCCATGTCCAAATCCTGGACTTCCTGCTCCTTGTGAAGGACCATAGTTTCCACCACTCTGTGGAGTGTAACTCCTCTGGCCCATTTGGTTGTAATTTTCTTGTGTCCCTTGGATAAAGTTTCCTTGCGGTGGCTCTTGGTTGTATTGCACAAATGCTCCTTGACCGTAATTGTTTGGTAATCCTTGGTATGGAGGCGTCTGAGCTCCTTGACCTTGGTTGTAACCCACCTGATTGGAAGGTATTTGACTTCCTTGCCCTTGTCCAGGGATTGGTGTTCCTTGACTTTGGTTGTTACCACTTTGAAATGAAGGAATTTGACTTCCTTGAGCATGTCCTCGTCTTAGGGTCGGGGTTTCTTGGCGTTGGTCGAAACTCCCCTGAGATGAAGGCATTTGACTTCGTGGAGCTTGCCATTGTCCATTGATTGGTATTTCTTCTCCTTGTTTAACATTTCCTTGGAATGAAGGCATTTCACTTCTTTGAGTTTTCCCTTGTCCTATAGACAGAGTTCCCTGGCTCTGCTTGAAACCCCCTTGCATAAAAGGCATTCGATTTCCTTGACCTCGACTATGCCCTTGTCCTGGAATTGACATTCGACTTCCTTCACCCTGCCCTTGTCCAGGGATCGACATTCGACTTCTTTGACCTTGCCCTTGTCCTAAATCAATAGCTCCTTGCATTCGCTTGACACTCCTCTGATCTGGAGGCGTTTGACTTCCTTGATCTTGCACTTGTCCTGAGATTTTACCCTCATCTGAAGGCGTTTGAATTATTTGAGCTTCCTCTTGTTCCGGCTTACTCTCCTTCTCTAGAGAATCAAAGCCTTCTTTAGTAGGAACAGGAATTGGCCCAGGTGTGATCACTCCATTCTCGTATTTATCACCTGACAATCAAACACCAAAAAACATTAAAAAAACCCGCAACTTCCTCATAAATAAACTTCCACAATGAGATTAAACTTTCACAAATTACCTCCATAAACCTTATTCTCAACATCAGCATAAGAATCAGGAATTATGTATTGAACCCCAGGCAAATCTGTTTATAAAACACCACAAAAAAAAAAAAAAGTATCAACAAATCAAGAACAAATCTAATTCCATTCAACAAATTCTTTCATATATCATTCATTACCTCTAAATTTTTCTACTTCTCCTATAGTCATTGTTGCTTGAAACCCTTGGTAACTTGTTGTGCAAATTGCATATATTTTCTTCTTAGCTTCTTCCAAACTGAAAAAATGCAACAAATACTCACAAAAGAAGAATTCTTTCTTCAATAATTCTAAAATTGAAGCAATTTGCAGAAACACCAACCTTATATCAAGTCCTTTAGCACAAGTTTGCTCAAAAATCGAAATCATTTCTTCTCTAGATGGAACATTATCTTTAGGGAAATTCATTGTAATTAACCAATGATTAAAATCGCATCCTTCGTTATCAGGCATGAACGAATCTTCTCCAGTGTACGGATCATACTGATACTGAGTCGTCGAGAACAGCCTCGCCGGAGATTTACCAAATTCCGTCGACTGCTTCACCACAGATCTCGGTAATAAAGATGACACGGGAGGGAAATCGGAGGGATGAGATAGAGGGAAGGATCGTTGGAAATAGGAAGGTGCGGCGACAAGAACTCGTCGGAGACGGTGTGAGAGCATGGCCATTGATGCCGGAGATTGAGAAAACGCCGGCCGGAGATTTTGTCTTCGATATTTTCAGGTACTGATGGGTTTAGGGCTTTTCGTGTGGCTTTTAGTATTTGTTATTTATTATTAAGCCCCTTACGGTTTTCAGTTATTTGAAACTTGGCACAAAGTTTCAGAATTGTCAATATTTTCCCCAAGTTTACTTTTTGGGCCGATCTTGGGCTATTTATAAAGACGACACCGTTTTGTATCATTTGGACTTGGAGTTGCCTATTTGCATTGTAAATTCAAGACTCAATAAATTTCAGTCTTTAGCATATTTTGAGAAAAGTAGTCCATTTCTAAGAAACTACTATATTTTAAGATTATAAAATGAAGTATAACAAAAAAAAAAGAAGCTTATGAAATATAAAGAAAATCATAACATGCTATCAGCTCTTGAAGGCAATCTCCTAAAGAAGTTTTGTGGAACCGAAGGTATATCAAAAACCCTAAGTCTAGGGTGTCTCATGACGTAGAACGCAAGTAAAGTCATCAGAAGTTTCATGGAGACTAAGAAGATTACTCCACAAGCAACTAAACAAAACATTGAAAACAGAAACGTTGCCCTAGGATCTCTCCAACTCAACAAATTCTTCACTCTCTCTCCTTGTGTAGCCAAATCACCTAAAACCATCATCATCCTTCCTGCAATTCCTCTTAACCTATCATACCTTTTCTTCACCAAATCCGGAGATTTCGCACTCGGAAACCCATCAAATTCCTCGTCTAGCTCATCGGGTAAAGCCGAATCTGCTTTAGACAGCTTTATATCCATGTGAGGAGGATGTCTCGGTCTCAAATGATATCGATAGAACCCGATCACGAAACCATACAAAAGGAGACTGGTAACGCAGTGCTTAGGGAGAAAAATAACGAATAAGAAGATAAAGTGAACTAGAATCGTTGTTACCGGACTCTTCCATTTGCATACCGAATCAAACCAAATCCAAGAATCAATAAACATGGTGAAGAAAGTCACAATTCGTTCGAAATTCGCTCTTCCTCTTCGTAAACTCCAAATGTTAGATCCAAAATCGAGCATATACTCAACTACATCTCTTCCTAGAGGCGGCTCAGTCCGGCCTAGCTTCAAACAGAGTATGTGAGTTGCTTGATGCCTAAGACTGTCTAGTTGGTAGATAGACAATGGAGTTAGATAATGCATTTCAGGTAGCAACGGTTCTGAGTATTTCTGAAGCATATCTATAGTCGAAATACATGAGAATCGAATTGCGAGCTGAATCTCTCCCATTTTCTTTACACCATCCGGCTTTAAAATGATGAGAGGATAGGAATGCGTGTAGATCCTCTCGGTTTCGAGTGTGGACAAACTGTAAGTGCGGATGAGGTACGTTAAATAGCGGAAAGTAAACGAGACAAGAAATTTGTTAACGAGGTTCAGTTTTTCCTACTCCCCGGGACCACGTCCAGATTTCGATTCCACTAGAACAAGAAAGCAAATACAACCTATTCGCAAACGCGTAAATCAAGCACAACCCTCTTGATTCACCGCTCCGTTCTATTAACATGAAATCTTAAGGATAAATCTCTACCCTTAACTAAACTCTCCTGAGCCTAGATTTAATCAGGATAACCTAACCCTGAGCTAAACTCCCCCTGAGTCTAGACTTCAATTCTCCTAGTCTTTGGAACAACCACCACACACGAACAGTCACGCCAACGAACCCAACGATCACCAAGATTCTCTAATATGAACCATCGCCACCAACACACAAATAAGCTTGATCACACAAGCACTTAACCCGCGAAACTATGTCGCACATGATCACACACACAATCTCTCACATCGAATCTCTTTGGGATTTTTACTCTTACCAATCCACATTCTCATAAGGTCACGTCCCCCTTATATAATAAACAGAAACTTGCACCTCAAGTTCTTCCAATCACACATAAGAGAAAGTTTCTTAATCTCATAAGGAAAAGATTTTCCTTTTTGCCAATTTCCTTTTCACTTCAAGCAAACTTCCTATTTGCTTACATGATTCCTTTCGTCTTCAAACAAAGATATTTTCCTTTTCCTTGACTTACCAAACGCTCCAACATCCAAGTACTCGAGCTCCTAATCAACAACTATGCTTCTCATCTTCTTAAATCACTTCTTGTACTACTTCCTGTACTACTTCGACGACTAGTACAGAACACCAAAATAACTGCATCTTCAATCTCCCCCTTTTTGACTATGTATGTGAACTCAACAACTCTAGCTTCAATAATTTCATCACTAGTAACACAACACCAATAACTCCAATCTCCCCTTACTTGAGTCACATCATGGTCAAAAACTAACCAAACGATCGCCTCCATCTAAACGAAGAATGAAATACCATTGCACCATCATCATAATGATTAAGCTCTCTTAGACCAAATATTCCTGAGATGTATGAATCCATAACGCACGATGCTTAGCTCTGTTTTACTTCCTGAACGATTGCCTGAATGATCTCCTGAACGATCTCCTGAACAATCTTCTGAACGATCTCCTGAACCTCACCCTGATCTACCCGAAGCAAGACTAAATCTCTATCGAGAACCCGCTCTGATACCAATTGTAAGTGCGGATGAGGCAAGATAAATTGAAGAAAGTAAACGAGACAAGAAATTTGTTAACGAGGTTCGGTTTTTCCTACTCCCCGGGACCACGTCCAGATTTCGATTCCACTAGAATAAGAAAGCAAATACAACCTATTCGCAAACGCGTAAATCAAGCACAACCCTCTTGATTCACCGCTCCGTTCTATTAACATGAAATCTTAAGGATAAATCTCTACCCTTAAGTAAACTCTCCTGAGCCTAGATTTAATCAGGATAACCTAACCTTGAGCTAAACTCCCCCTGAGTCTAGACTTCAATTCTCCTAGTCTTTGGAACAACCACCACACACGAACAGTCACGCCAACGAACCCAACGATCACCAAGATTCTCTAATATGAACCATCGCCACCTACACACAAATAAGCTTGATCACACAAGCACTTAACCCGCGAAACTATATCGCACATGATCACACACACAATCTCTCACATCGAATCTCTTTGGGATTTTTACTCTTACCAATCCACATTCTCATAAGGTCACGTCCCCCTTATATAATAAACAGAAACTTGCACCTCAAGTTCTTCCAATCACACATAAGAGAAAGTTTCTTAATCTCATAAGGAAAAGATTTTCCTATTTGCCAATTTCCTTTTCACTTCAAGCAAACTTCCTATTTGCTTACATGATTCCTTTCGTCTTCAAACAAAGATATTTTCCTTTTCCTTGACTTACCAAACGCTCCAACATCCAAGTACTCGAGCTCCTAATCAGCAACTATGCTTCTCATCTTCTTAAATCACTTCTTGTACTACTTCCTGTACTACTTCGACGACTAGTACAGAACACCAAAATAACTGCATCTTCACAAACGTATCCTGATTTTACCAATTCTCCAGTCTTTTGCACCATTTGTGTTTCCGGGTACTAATAAATGTAGATTGTCGAAAACCGCAACGGTTATTACGGTATAAGGATCATAAACTTCCCAAGTATACTGCTCGTTCCATTTTGGGCTTAAACTATCTACAATTGTCCTTGTTCTCACCCATTTCTGCCCATATTTCGCCACACAATAAGCATCGGTCGTTCCTCGACCATCTCGGGACTTCATCGGCATCAAACCGGATGCACTGTTGACTCCAAGCTCCAACACACCAATAGCTGGAGTCCATAAAAGCTTAGCAGAAGCTTTGTAATCACTGCTATACTGAATCGACTCGTCGAGGACATGGTATCCTCCGTCCAATGAAACCCGCAAATGAATCCTCCCTGCGAATCCTGAGTCCCCGACCCGCTCAAGGTTGTACCATAGAGCCGGTACAGGTCCGGGCAATACCCGTCTCTCAACCTGAGACAACTTTATCTCACATCTACCTAAAGACTCTTCTTTTTGACCTACCTTATCTTTCAAGCTAAGCAACAAACTGTCTTCAAACGGCTCAACGGCAACAAACATCATATCCTCAATCCAAACCGGACTCATTGTCCGCGTCTACGAAACCCGACTCCTCACAACAACATTTCCTACAAACCCTTTTACTAAGAACTCCAGATTCGTTCTGTTTGCTTGCAACGGAACCAAATCTTGAGCGTCAATAACATTCACTCGCAAATACCATAGCCTCGGAGATAGATACACTTTAGACCGCGTAATCACCACGTTTTCTCCGGTCACCGTAGCGGAATCCGAATGCCAAGCCTCAGGGAAAACTTCATCGGCTTGTGTCCCCATCCATACAGATAACATAACCTCTCCTCCAAATCTGTTCCCATTTCTATCTTCTAATCTATACCATTGTGGAGCCAATGGACTATCCGGAGGGACACGTGTTGGAATCTCAGCTACTTCGAATCTACACTTTCCAATTACCTCTTCTTCGTTCACCTTCATGGCCACTTCCAAGACATTTCCTTGGAGACGATCACTATTAAAGGCGAAAACTTCGTGAAACTCCGGATTAGGGTTAGGGTTTGTGTTACGTTTGGTTCTTCCTTTGTAGCTACCGATTGTGACTTCAACGAATAAGTCATTAAAAGGTAAAGCTCGAGCCTTAACGATTCGGATGTAGAGAAATGTCATTCGTTCGACGAGATCGAATGTTGACGTCAGCATTTCACCGCCGGGAATTGATCTTCCGCCGCCGATTTTGGGACATGTTTCTTTTAGAGAGAAGTCGTTCTCTGCCATATTTTTGTTGTTGTTGTGATTCAAAGTTGCCATTGAAGCGTTTGTGTTACATAGTAGAAAATGTTTTCAAGATTTGTTTGTGGTTTTTGAAATCTTTTTTCTTAAGAGAAAATCGTGGAGGTTTAAGATAACGATTTACATTTAAAGTTGAGATTTTCTTGTGAGAGATATCAAAAGGCAGAAAAATATTTACCGTTTTTTCGATAATAATACTTTGGGAATTCGAACAAATTCATTTCCTTAATTGACTCTAATGACGTTAGTAATTGTGAGTTTGGATTGTAAATCTTGGATTTTATTTTGGTTCGAAGAGAGAAGACGTTACCAATCACTGATCATTTCATATAGCGTACAAAATATTAGAGAGTAGAGAATAAATTATCGTTTTAACAAATAAAGAAAATTCATGAATTGATTAACAACAAGGAACTAGGTGATATATACAGCTGCGCTCGTGTCATGGGACGAAATGATTATCAAGTTCAGCTGCATATGTTGCAAAATTCAAACAATGTATTATTTGGTTCTCGTTTTTTTCTATCTTAAAGCAATGCTTTTTATTTATAAAATAACTAATGAACCAGTTAAATTGGTCACATATCAATTAATAATTATAAAAAATAATAGAGATATTATAAATATATATATATATATACATATAATAATAAACTGATATAGATATAATAATTAATACTTTTTCTCTTTCATTTTATATGTTGTTTAAGATTTTGACACATAGATTAAAACCAAACGATGAAATTATCACGGGCTCGTGACATTATTGTAGATATGGTTCAGGAAATTCGTAAAACCTTGTTCAATGTTTGTAGCATCAAGAGCCGATGTCTCAATAAACAAAAGTTGCTCTCTCTCCGCGAACGATTTTCCCTCTTCTATTGATACTTGTCGGCTATCTTCAAGATCAGACTTGTTTCCTACGAGCATGATTACAACATTGTTGGCATCAGTGGACTCACGTATCTTTTTGAGCCAAAGTTCCACGTTCTCGAACGTTGAGTGATTCGTAATATCATACACTAGTAGAACCCCTTTTGCTTCTCTATAATAAAGTCTTGCAAACGCATATCTGTATTTTATTAAGGAAAATCTTATTAGTAAGAAAACATCAAGAGTATATTAATTTGGATTTTAGTTTTCTATTTTCAGATGATATGTTAATTAAATAAATATCGAAAACCATTTGATTTTTTTTAGTTCAATTTCGGTTATAATATATGTATCTTAAATTTAAAGGGTAAATCTATATAAATGATGTTTTAACTGGTTTACTTTTTTTGGTTAGTTTAATTTCAGTAAATAATTTTTTTTTTTTTTGTAAGAAAAGAGGACTAGTCTGGTTGGTTTCTTCTTTAGTTTGAGTTTTTCGTATTTGGATTGGTTAAGCATATGTGAATAAACACTCTTAAAAAATAAAAATAAAGATTTTATAGATCGAACTTTTCTTGACTACCGGCGGTGTCCCAAATTTGAGCTTTAATGATCTTATTATCGATGTGATAGGTTCGGGTCGTAAATTCAACACCAATGGTCGACTTTGACTCAACATCGAACTCATTTCTTGTTATACGAGACAAAATATTTGATTTTCCCACACCGAAATCTCCTGACATCACCACTTTAAATAAATAATCGTAATCATTGTTGGGTATGTTCGCTCCCATGCTTATGAAATTTTAAATTTTTGCTTGAAAGTCTGATTTTTGTGTGAGAAATAGAGGTAACTAAAGTCATATATATAGTACAATGAAGAAATTTTACATTTATATCATATCCATACAAATTTATTGAAAGTATCTCCTATACAAAAAAATTAAGTTGTTGATATCCAAATTTTTAATATTTTTTCTATTGCTGTATAAAAAAAATCATGTTAGATATTATTATTTTAATTTATAACCATACACTAAATTTTTTTAGTTAAAACTTTATTTTCTTCCTATAATACATTCCCCTTCTTAACACGTGTATGTTTTTACTAACAAAACTATCTTGTCAAATCCATACAAATTTATTAAGTATCTCATATACAAAAAAAAAAAAAAAAAAGAATTTGTAATTGATATCCAAATTTCTAGTATTTTTGATTTTATCTATTCCTGTAAAAAAAAAAAAAACAATTCTATTAGATATTATTATTTTTAATTTATTACTATACAATATAATTTTTAATTAATTTTTTTCTTCCTATTTTACATTGTCGTTCTTAATATGTGTATGCTTTTGTTAATAAAATATATTGGTTCTTCTAATTATTTTGTTAAGAAAATTACATTATTTCCTCGGAAAGTTTTTTTCTTTTAGCTGACTTTATCTTCTTTTGACGTTGTGATATGTAGGGCTAGTTAGAAAATTAAACCCAAAATCTGAACGCGACAAAAAAAATCTATCTTGATCTCAACCGGTTCTAAAAAATACCAGAATGTGTCTTAGGGATAAGTATTTCAGATATAGGATAATAGCCGATCCTAATCAAAATCCGAACTAGTAACCGGAAAAAAACGAAGCTAAGTAAACTCATTAATTCCATTTTACCTAGCTTCGAGTATTTATGATACTTTCGAGTATTTTTGGTTAGTTTTTTACAGGGTTTTTGGATAATTCAGATATTTTTGAGTACTTTCAGATATTTTAATAGTAGTTTGGTTATTTTTGTTGCTATCGAATTTTTTGGGTATTTCGGATATTTTCGAGTATTCCAGGATAATCTTAGTTGTTTTTTTTTGGGTAATGTTGGATCCTTGGAAGGAATCAAACCTGAAAGGTAAAGCCGATCCAAACTACAACCGACCCGAAAATTGCCCGTATTGATATTATGGTTTTACTTAGCTAGGGAGATAACCTGATTTACTATTTTTGTTCTTATTAGTGTATAAGAAAACATCATGAATTCATGATTATCTTAATTTGAATTTTAGTTTTCAATTTTCAGATGATATGTCAATTAAAAAAATCGAAAACCATTTGATTTCGTTTTTATAATGCTTTGATTTTAGCTCAATTCCGTTATTATTTAATAGTGTTTATCAATTTATTGAGTATTAGTTTATAGAGATTTCACTATATTTGTGAAAACCACACCAACTTTTATTTATACTCCAAATTAAACAAAAAGATTATTATTTTGGCTACAGAAAACAGAATTATTAGAAAGAGATATGAAACCATTACGAGGTCTTGAAATATAGGTAGATCTAATTCAGAAAATTTGTGAAGCCTTCTTCAACGTTGGTGGCATCAAGAGCTGATGTCTCAATAAACAAAAGCTTCTCTCTCCGCAAACGACTTTGCCTCCTCCATTGATACTTGTCGGCGATGATCCAGATCAAACTTTTTTTTTTTTTTTTTTTGGTAAAAATCAAGATCAAACTTATTGCCAACAAGCATGATTGTGAATTGTTGCAATCAGTGTAGTCACGAAGCTCTTTGAGCCACCATTCCACGTTTTTGAACGTTGAGTAATTCGTAATGTCATACATTTATAGCTCACATGGCTTCTCTATAGAAACCGTTTTTTGATCAATCTATATCTATAAGTAGATAGTGTAAAAAATCTAGCATGTAAACAACTATTTAGGAGTATGTAATTCGTTAAACAGACAGAAAGCATTTTTTAAAAACTAGAGAATGATTTATAGATCATACGGTTCTTGACCAGAGTTATCCCAAAAGTGAGCTTTAATGTAATAACTTCGGACCCCAAATTCAACACCAATGGTTGCCTTTGGCTCAATATTGAATACATTGTTTGTGAATCGATCGAGACAAAATGTTTGATTTTCCCACACATGAATCTCCTATCATCAGTTTTTTTTTTTTGGTTTTAATGTGAAGATTTCATTCCAAAGGAAAATTACAAGAGGTTGAGCAGAGGACACAAGAGGTAGGGATATTCAAGCCCCACCTACTTAGCCTATCTCTAATGGGAAGACGAGAAAGCATAGCCAGCCAAGTAATAAGAGAAAAGCGTGGCACATGCTCCTTGAACCATACAACCTCAGCCCAAGGGACCAAAGCTGACCGTGCTCTAATCTGCTCCCATGTTTCCTTGGAAGAGAAAGAGGGATTGTACGTACCGGAGCAATTACGCCAAAGGAAAGTATCACAACCTTTGCAATGTTCAGGTGCACCAACATCAGTTAGTGCCACCAGGAATGTTTGGCAGTTGTCAGATCGAGCTGCCGGCAATACCCATTGACCATTTCTCGAGGCGTCAAAAACTCTTGCATCTTTTCTAATTTCTAACTCGCAGATGCCTTGGCCCATCTGACCAAAGTCTGTCCACGTGTCATACCAAAAAGAAGCAGATTTACCAGCACCCACCTCACACTTAAGAAAGTCTTTGATGGTGGTTTTAAGCTGCAGCATGCTGTTGACGGTCTACTTAAGCCTGAACACTACCTCAAAACAGTATTTTGAATATATAATTGTTGGGGGATGGATTGCACCCTTCATTTAAGCTCGGCCCAAATCAAGGTTAACTTAATCAGAAACAAGCCCATAAAAGTTGGCCCATGATCCTATCCCCAGCTTAGTTTTCGTATAAATAGAGAGACATCTCATTGAAGAAAATGAGAGGAAAAAAAGGAGAAGAAATATTTACTTAAAACGTCTTCAAGCTCCTCAGCTCGTCTTCAAGCTCTTCAGCTCGTCTTCAAACTCTTCAGCTCGTCTTCAAGCTCTTCAGCTCGTCTTCAAGCTCTTCAGCTCGTCCAGCTCCTCAGCTGAGTGCCTAGCTCGTTCAACTAATCGCCTAGCTGCCAGCTCAACGCTTAACTGCACAGATCGTCCATCTCGTCTCCCAGCTCGTCCAACTGGTCTCCTAGCTGCCAACTCGACGCTTAACTGCACAGATCGTCCATCTCGTCTCCTAGCTCGTCCAACTTTTTAGTTGACTGCTCAGCTCGTCCAACTTCTTAGTTGACTACTCAGCTCGTCCAACTCCTCTATTGACTGCCCAGCTCGTCCAACTAGTCGTCCAGCTCCTCAGCTAAATTCCCAGTTCGTCAAACTCCTCAACTGACAGCTCAGTTCGTCCAACTTGTCTCCAAACTACCCAACTCGTCAACAGATGGCCTAGCTGCACATATGGCCTAGCTCCCACTTATTGTAATTTGAACTACGAATGGCTTGATCCCTTTCTAAGGGTATGTAGGCAGTCTTTCACAAGGCGCAACTATAAAACAAATAAACTTTATGTTTATCGTGAGAACGGCCTAACTCCGGACCTTCAACGCAAGGAGAATATTTTTCCCTTATCAAAGAACTTACAAATATACTTTGTTGAAATTCGTGCATCAACAATAATCGTAATCGTTGTTGGGTATGTATCCTTCCATACTTTCACAAACCGAAAACTCAAACTGGTCAAAAAATAAAAATAATATTAATGGAAAGACTAATTTATGTATCACCTTTAGAGGTAATTTTTTTGTTCAACAGTTTAAGCTCAAAAGAGCCATTTATGAGAAATGTTGTTTACGTATGTAAACTTTTAGAGGTGATTTAAAATAATATATATAGTGCAATGAAGAAAAGTTTACATTTATATCATTTCCATAGAAATTTATTAAATTCTCTTTAAAACAAATAAAATTTATTTGTTGATATCCAAATTCTAACCATTTTGTCTATTAGATGTTAATTAGTATTCTAAATATATTACGTTACATATACCAGAATTTCTAAATTTTAAGAGTAAATTTGGATATTTCGTATCAAGAGTTTTGATGAATTTTCGTAACACGAGATTCGATATGCAATTTTTGTAAAAAGAATGTTTCTCTCTTTTTTCTTTTGCAAATATATAAAGGAGAATATATATTCTCTTTTTTCTTTTGCAAATATACACGAAGCAGCTTAAGAAAACAAGCTGCCATAAAAAGAAAGAATGAAAACAATGTACATGTAATTTGTACTATTATATGCAGAGTGTAGTGTTTGTTTCTTCTATATACATTCCTATGAACAGAGAAAAGTAGTTGCTCCTAATGGCTCTGCACTTTGAGATTTGAATAACTTCCATATCCCATTGTGCAAATGCCACAATGGGTGTTTTCGAGACTCCATATGACACGTGAATTTGCAGCAATATATCTAGCTAGCCTTCTATTGCCACAAGAATCTTCCAAAGTTTGTTTTCTTAAGCTGCTTCGTGTATTGTCCGAGTGCATTCACCATGATCCCCTTCAGGATCCACATTGTCCTATAAAGTCAAATCCCAAGTTTAGTTCTATTCACAGCTCTCGTTGGTAAAGACCACAACAATGTTTCACTGTCTAACACTTACAATAAATCTTAACCGATCAGAAGGGACGAAGGCGTATGTACCTACCTGCAAGTATACATTCTTTTATAGCATTCAGCCAGACTTCAGCGCAACCTCAGTAAAGATCTTTCAAGGTATACTCAAGCTTCCTCCATAGTGTTCACTGATCGAGGCCTATGTAAAGAAAGAAGTCTGATTACTTTGCCAAATGATTCAATTCAGGATGAAGGTTATCCAATGGTTAAACTTCTGACTCTCTTTTTTGGTAGTGATTTGTAATGGTGATGGAAACCTTTGCCCTGACCTGAATAAAGGGAGACAATATCTCATAGACTTGTAGGAAAAGTTGGCTCCTTGCTGCTAATCTGGAGGTAAAAGTATAATCATCACCAAAAGTGGTAATAATCTAAGATGAACAATCAAAGAAATCTTTAAATCAAATGTTTAGTCAAATGTGTCATAACTATGATCACATACAGGTGCAAGTAAGATCTCTGCAATACCTTTTCAGAAGTCGGAAGCAGAGATATATCTCCTCAATATCACCTTCTACCTTGAGCTTAATGTACTGTTTAAGAAGTTCACACACATCGTATATAGCTTTGTCCAAATCATTGGCACTTGCTGCATCATGAAAACTACTGATTTCTGAAATAGCGTGTTGTAGGACCCGGGATAACATAGGTCTTAACTGAGCAACCTTGAAGTATATCCCTGAAAGTTTTTCCAAAGTACAATTGCCACTAACTTTGAACTTCTCTGTCCAAAGAGGAGGATTGCCAAACCAAAGAGAGCTACATGAGAATCCAATCTCATTCTCAGTGCCCTTTATATCTATCGGCTCCTCATCTTGTTTCTTAGAAGTCTCCATGGGAACATTTGATGATGACTGTTGTCTCCTGTTGGCAGGAAATGCTCCCAATACGTCAACCCTCAATTCTTCAGGTAATTCTTGTAACACAGAGACGTCGACTTGACTAAGGGATGAAGGCATCAAATCAGTCATTTCTATTGTGCGCTGATTAGAAGTTCTGGCAATGGAAGGATGCGGCACATACGGTTCTTTATATTCCTAGTTTCGGGAATATAACGAAAACTCTTAGAAGTCTATATCACTCTCCCCATTTTCAGGGTTCTACTGTTGAGGTAGCCAAACATATGTGAGATGATTAATTCCAAAAAGAGCATGAGCTTTACCTTTTCTCTAGAGGTGCTCAAGCCATGTATCTTAACTGAGAGAGATTTTAATTCTTTAATGCTAGCAGCAGTGCCTATGGGAAGAAAAAGTAATCATCTCAGATGCACTGCATTGGGAAAGAAACAGTTATTTCATCAGGCTTCTAATACAGCTGACATAACTAACCATCCAAGGAGACATGTGGAGAATTGCTGTTGATTTTTCTTTTGCCTCGTTTTTTCTCAATCAACTCAAACAACTTCCCACCGTAGGTTCCATCTAATTCAGAAAGGAGCTCTGGAGGAAGGTTCTCTAGAACTTCCATGTCGAGATGACACATAGGCGGTAAGGATGAATTTGTATCACCTGACTGAATTGAAGATTCTGCTGAATTAGATTCTCGGAGTATAGAAACTCCACCAGTAACATGCCTATTACAATCTGTCACAAGACAACAATTAAGTCAGTAGTTTTTCGCATCTAAAACTTAACTAAGAGCTCTTCATTTCTAGAGCCATAACAACAAAAAAAGGAAAGAAAAAGAAAACCGACTTTGGGTCAGAATATTTTCTTCTCACAAACATACTAATACATTCTCGAACAGAAAGTCGGGGTTGTTATTAAAGACATGTATAGCAAATAAGCGTGTCATCACCTGTAAAGCTTTTAACATAGTGAGCACTAACAGAACATTTATTTACCTGAGTTTTCCCTAACTTTTGCAGCAAAAACATTATCATCTTGTTCTATTTGGACAGAGGCAGATGCAGAGCTGAGCCATGATTTCAGAGTCCTTGAACCTTGAATGAAAACCAAGGAAACAAGTATAAATGAATAGGGAGAGACTTTGAATGCCTTTTTCCAAGAATGTTTATCAGAAATGCATAAGAAATTACATAAAGCAGAATGATCTGCAATTTAATATGTAACAAATCCTAGTGAACCCTAGAGTTTAGTTTCCTTAGAACTAACCTTTATTAGAAGGATCTGCACTGTCAAGCTTAGAGACCTGAAGCCCAACCCCACGAACTTCCTTAACATCTATCTCAAGAGAATAAAAAAAAGTTGAATTTAAATCATGGAAGCTGCATGCAAGAGTTAGATGTTATCCAGGAGTCAATAGCAAAGAATAGATTCCTACAGGACGTTCAGTCTCAAGGACCAACTTTCTCACTTTCCTGCAGAGTACGATAGAACAACTCTGCAATATTAAGCTTAAATTGTTCTCACAGGTTCATATATCTTTCAAACTACTCTCATCCATCTTTCATAAAATTTGAAAATTCAACTAAGCTGCTTCTTGCATGTGAGGAAGGACTCGATATATGCTCGGTAAATAGTAACAGTAAAACCATCTTATCAAAGCAGCTGAGACGAACTTACCCAAGCAAAATGACCCAAACAACTTCTTTGAAATCCTCTGCAGAACTTCTACGTCATCTGTAGCAGCAGGCACCTACAGCATTAGTGATAAAAATCATCAGGCTTTAAGAATTATACAGGAAAAAATACTGCACGTGGTATCTGTGAGAGAAAATAATACTATCATCCAAATTACAACTCACAGTGATGGAACGACTCAGATTGTCACAATCTCCACAACCCATATACTTTGTAGGTTCTTCAGCATCGTTTTTTCTCTTTTTTATCTGAAGTAACACCAGAGCGCAGACATTCACTATAGTTTCTTTGCGTGATGAATGATGTCACTCGAACATGGCATATACTACCCAATGCGATGAATACTATCAAAGCAAAAACCTAAATATTTACAACAATGAACTAAGAGAAGGCATAAAACCTTAAGAGTAAAAGTGCGTCCTATCATTTCACATCCTTGCAGACGCAAAGAAACTTCTTTGCATAGGCATTGGAGGAAGTGTTGAACCTGCAACCATCAACAACCACACATTCTTAGCTAAC